TGCTGATGTTAACTTGTGAGCCTATGATTGATGTTTCTTTGACCCAAAGGCAAACCTTCAAAAGTGGCACAGAGAAAAATAAAAAACACTGAATTCTCTAGAACTTGTTTGTGTATGTGTATATAGATATGTGTGTGTTTGTACATCATTCTGACATAAAAGTGGGTAAAAGCTTCATTCATGGTGGTTTTTAGGCTTTCTCAGCCAAGGAGAGAGTTGCCTTTCTAAAAAGAAAAACCATTTCCTCCTTTAATCAGACGGTGGGGGAGGTGGTGCATAGTAATGGGAATAAGGATAAGCTTACATGTCGGGATCATAATATGAAGAGTTACTAGTACTAGGATACGCCGTGTTGTAACTCATACCATACTCTGGGATTGGATTGTAAACCTGAGGATATGGGTGGATTTGCTGGCACAGCAGGCTGGGATCTTTCATTCCACTCGGTATGTCCATTCGGGGAGCAGATAAAGGAGACCCATCGCTATTGCCACCATTTTCAGCTCCCCCTTTGGTTGCATTATTGCTCTGTCCTTTCTTCTTTTTGCTGCCAATGCCACCAGAGCTACCTTTTCCCTCCACCATAGGTTCCTTAACATTGCTAGAAATGTCCTCTGGTTGACCTTCCCGATTTACCTTGCCTTTGCTGCCATCTTTAACACTACTTTCAGTTTTCACTGCCGAAGTTTTCTCCTCATCTTTGCTAGCATCATCAGCATCTTTGTTTTCCTGTTGGCCCTTGCTTTTTTGAAATTTAAATCATTTCAGTATTTGTATCTAAATTTGTTTAATTTAATTTGTTTGTAGGCCATCACTGGAAAAATGACATAGGTTTCTGTGGTAATTTTTCTCACCCAGTTTTGAAAATTTTTTATTTTAATTAAAATCAGTGAAGTATTTCTAGCTAAATTTGTTGACTTCAATTTTTTTTGTAGGCCACGACTGGATTTAGACATAGGCTATAAAGGCAATGTTTTTCACTTATGACTGCAACAAAATGATGAGTTGAAAGAAACAAAATCGTCCACCAAAATGGACTATATGTTCGGTAAGTACTTCATTCACTTTGTAAAACATGCAAACTTATTGTTTTTTTATTAATTTATTTTAATTTTATTGTAATTCAATGTAGTGTGCTATACAAAAAGGAACCACCGAATGTGGTTATTATGTGATGAAGTTCATGTTGGAAATTGTTTTCAACAACCTAAGAAAAGAAATGGATAAGACAAGTAATTTCATAATATATCTTTTTTCTTCAAATGTTTAAAAATACTTGCTTATTTATTAATTTTATTTCTTTTGAACTTTGTAGGCTTTGGAAAGACAAGGAAGATTGCCCTACAACAAACAAGAGATTGATGAAGTTAGAGACAAATGGTCTAAGTTTCTTATTGATGAATGGGTTAATAAAACGCTTCTTAGTTGATACTTTACGTTTAAAATTAGTTTATGTTTATTGGCTTAATGTTTAGTAGTTTTGTTGAATTGTGGTACTTATATTAGTTTTATGTTTAGTAGCTTGAATTAGCTTAATGAATTGTGTTCTTTATATTAGTTTCATGTTTAATAGTTTGAATTAGTTTAATAAATTAGTTGATGTTGAATGTTGAATGTTAAATTGCTAGCTGCGCAGGATTTGAAAATTGATACAGGTTGGGTAGAACCATAAAACGAATATACTATTAAAAAAAAAACACATACGACGTCGGCTTTTAGGATAAAGCTGACGTTGTATAGTTTTTAAAAATTTAATTAATTAACATACGACGTCGGCTATTAGGTTAAAAGCCGACGTCGTATGTTAATTATTTTTTTAAAAAAATAATAAATATATACGGCGTCGGCTTTTACCTAAAAGCCGACGCCGTATGTTAATTATTTTTTTTTTTAAATAATAAATATATACGGCGTCGGATTTTACCAAAAAATCGATGCCGTATGTTAATTATTTTTTTTTAAAAAAAATAATAAATATATACGGCGTCGGCTTATACCTAAAAGCCGACGCCGTATGTTAATTATTTTTTTTAAAAAAATAAATAAATATATACGGCGTCGGCTTTTACCTAAAAGCCGATGCCGTATGTTAATTATTTTTTTTAAAACAAATAATAAATATATACGGCGTCGGCTTTTACCTAAAAGCCGACGCCGTATGTTAATTATTTTTTTTAAAAAAAAAACATACGACGTCGGTTTTTTAACCGACGTCGTATCATTTACTTACGACGTCTCTAAAGTCGACGTCGAAAGATAACCGACGTTAAATGGGGTATTTTAACCGACGTTAAAACCGTTTTCTATAGTAGTGCAGGTACAGCCACACACACCACACCTCAACAGGAATCAATCAACGGATCACAACGAAGATATGAAACCATACTCAATCAAGGAATGGATCACAGTCCAACAACAAAGATGAATAACACAAGTTATCATCAACCAATAAGAAGGTACAAACAACACACACGCTAGCATTTAAACACCGAACTAGCATGCTTATCAAACGGGTAAACCAAACGTAGTTCCGAGGAACACACAAGACTCATCACGGTTTAACGAATCACAATGTTGAACACTTAGCATGATTCAAGACACCAAAACCTACATGGAATCCTACCATATAGTTCTAGACATGCGAAACATCAAGAAGACACTCAAATAGTTCCACAAAAGAACATCGGGAAGTCAAAAGACCAAATACCGAGTCAAAGGAATCACGGGGAACAAATCCCGAACATCAACCATGATGTTCCCCGCGGGTGGACCCACGGGTAGACCCCCACCCGTGGTTCCGCCCGCGGGTACACACCCACGACCACATGTACCCCGCGGGTGGGCGGCGGGTGGACGCCTACCCGCTGTTCCTCCCACGGGTACGTACCTGTACCAACATAATCCCTTCAGGGATTTTCAACACAAGCTCCTAATAAGGCTCACCTTCCAAACCCACTTCAAGAACACACCAAAAGATCATAAAGATTCTATCTTTAAGAAAAGACACCTTAGAAAACACTAAAGACACAAGATGAACATAGATCTTACCCTCCTAGATGCTCAAATGTATGAAAGGTAGAATCTTGGAGACAACCCTTGAAGATTTGACAAAGCTTCAACTTGGCTTGGAAGAAAAGCTATATAACTTTTAGAGAGAAGGTAGAGCTAAAGTTTGGAAAGTGTAAGGAGAAAGAATGAGGAGTGTCTACTAGGTTAGCTTGCATTACTAACACAAGGTGAAATGTCATGAATACCCTTACTAAAATGAAGAGGTGTAAGGGAACAAGGGAACTACTCACAAAGCTTAAGATACAACCTTGACTTTGGGTTGACTAGTCAATTACTAGTCCCCGACTATTGAATTTTCAGGAATTTAAGGAATTAATTTACCAATTGGCTTAGGATTAATTACTTAATTAATCCCTTAATTTAATTTGGATTACGGGGTGTCACATCCTCTCCCCCTTCAAAGAAGCTTCGTCCCCGAAGCTTGGGTACGACGAATTAAAACAAACGGTAAAAGGAACAATAATGTGACAAGAGTGTCAAGAACAATCTCTTTTGGGTCAAACCCAAAGGATTCACAAGACATCAAAGCAGCAAGAAGGTATATCAACACCAAGATTGAAAGAATGAAACCAACGGGGGTATATTGAGCATAACAAACTCTAGACCGAACACGACTACTAACTTCTAACCAACAACCAAGAACTAACAACTAGCTCAAAGCATCAACCAACAAAGCTAACTACCCAACTAAACAAACAAGAACAAGCACACAAGGCAAACAACAAGCAACTCACGAGCGGTCACAACAACTGGAAAGATAACAGCAAACTAAGGAAAGGAGGACAGGGGTTACCACAACACCGCGCTAGAACGACTCGCTCTCAGACTCCTCGGTGTCTACATCAGACTCTTCGTCGGCTCTTCCTCGGCTAGAACTGGCCTCAAGCTGGTCCAACCTTTGGTTAACTGCGACGGACGGCGTCTTCATAAAAGCATAGCAACTAAACCAACTACTCAAACTACAAGCTAACAACCACGGCAAACAAGAGAGAATGACTAAACGCACAACTGAGCAAACAACTACCAACGAACCTACTAACAAAACAAGCAAGGGACGCAACAAGGTTCCACAACGGAAATGGTCGGCTTGCAAAACGGATGACAAAGCTTAAGAGATGGGTTGCAAACGAGGTTTTAAGCAACAAAAGTGTTCGCCACTAACCAAAGTTAGGGGAAACATGGGTTCAAATTAAAGTGGTGAGATAGATAGGTTTGGTCACAACGAAGTTCAACACCAAAACCGTCGGTTGACAAAACGAGAGACAAGGCTTAGAGATAGATTGAGGGTTCACAAAGGTAAGACAAGAAAGAAAGATAAGGTGATAGATAAAAGATTTACCGGAAAGGAAAGCTAACTTCACACCGAGCCTAACTCCTGCTCAAAACTAGCCAACGATCTACTCAAAACGAGACGGCTCAGTAATGATTGTATAGGATTTGTAATGATTGTAAACCCTAGCTAACGGATACCAGATGAGAACTGATTGTATTGTATTAACTGAACATAATTATAATGAGATCAGATGATGTGAATATATACAATAGAGAGTCACAGTGTGACAAGGATAAGAAGTAGAGAGTCACAGTGTGACAAGGATAAGAAGTTCTAAACAGACTCAGATACATAGAGTCCTAATAGTAATAATAATAATAATAATAATAATAATAATAATAATAATAATAATAATAATAATAATAATAATAATAATAATAATAATAATAATAATAATAATAATAATAATAATAATAATAATAATAATAATAATAATAATAATAATAATAATAAAATACACAACCTACTTAAACAAGCTCAACACCAAATGTAACACAATGTTAAGTTTCTCAAAAGTAAAATTCAAAACATCTTCAAATACTAATTTTACAATATAACAAGTTTAATAAAATGTTAAGTTTATTAAAAGCTTACATCCAAAATATTACAAATATTACAATAACATACACTTAATAAAATGTTAAGCTTATTAAAAGCTTACATTCAAAAAACATTACAAATATTACAACACCACACGCATAATAAAATGTTAAGCTTATCAAAAACTTACTTACAAAAACCATCATAAGATACTAACTAATAGTACAACATCCACATCAACCAACAAAGTCAATGTGTAGCAAGAAAAGCTCTCACCCATCCCAATCTTCGATCTGGTGGAAGGCTAAAAAACACAAGCATCTGATTTGGATGGTCAGGAAGTTTGATCAAAGTCATCAAATATTCTTCGTTTGATAATCCATCAAGTTGAATTAACTCTTCGTCTAACTGTTGCACTTTTTCTTGAAGAATTAATTGAGTTCCAATGCTCTTAGTTAGTTTATCACCAACCATCAACAATGTTTCATTCAACATCATTGCAGTACTGTGAAAGGATTGTGAAGTAATTGGTTCATCTCTATCACTATTCTTCCTCTTTCTTCTTGCACCACTAGACAATGATTCTGAATTTGCTTCACTTCGTGCCCTATTACCTAATGAAGATTGAGATTGGTTATAAAGTAAATTAAAGTTTTCACATAATTAGAATAAAGTATTCATATAAGTATAATGATATTACCTTATGAAGAGTGAGCTTGGGTAAATCTGATATTACTATTTGGCATATCTTCATCACCAACATCTTCATCTTCACTAGCTAGATTGATCCCACCAATGCCTTCCTCATTAGTCATTTCTTCAATAATATCTTCTCCAGTTTGTGCATCCCTCCATGTTGCACGATCTTTTGCATAGATAGAACTAAATTCATGATAGAAAGGAAAACTTTTCCTTCTGAACTGAGCAGCTTCTCTGTGTGTCTAAATAAATGAAGTTTTCATATAAGTATAAAGTAAATTAAAATTTTCACATAATTAGAATGAAATATAAATACTTACACTTATATAATTAAGAATCCCGCACATAGTCTTCAATCGTGACCATCTTTCTTTCTTCATCCCATCCAAAGCCACTGTTATTACTAGTGAAAAGATCATGTACTACGGTCCAATCTTTTTTCAATGTCCTTATCCTTGACTCAATATGAGGTTTAGCTTTTATGTCCAAAGTCGGTATTTTAGCTTTTAGCATCCTCTCCAACTCATTCAAATACCCACCTTTGAATCTAGTATCAGCATTCTTTGTTCCTAAATTATGGAGGTTAACCATACAACAAACTAAGGCAACATCTTCTTCATGGGTCCACCTCCGTGACTTGTTTTTTGAACTGCCTGTGTCACTAGTCGCCATAATTCTTTACAGTAACAAAAAGTTAATAAAGACATTAAAATAGCAGGAGAGTTATCTATAACAAACATGAAAGTTATTAAATTCATTCATTATATCTTAGCAAAGAGTTCACAGTTACAAATAAAATCATGAATTACATCATAGCAAAGAGTTCACAATACCAAATCAAACAATGTTTTACTACAAATATTAGAAGTCATAATAAAATCTAATGTTTCCTAGATGCTTGCCATTCATTGAACATTTCTGTTGCTAATTCCATCCAAACAAAAAACACTTAATTAAAAACAAAAAAAAAATACACCTAATTATATACAAAATCTAGTTACATAAAGTTATAAATACCTTAAACCACTTCCACCGATTGTCCGATGAGTTACTTGGGATAGGCTTGAGTTTTGCAAACAAGGGACCTTGTAAATGCATATGTGCATTTAAAGCTTTATGAAAACTTCGGCTAATGTTCTCACCCGATCTTCTAAAATTTTGTCTAATGACTCGATTTTTAACATGGTGAGCAAGAATATGCAAAAATATTGCTACTTGTTCATCAACAAGCATGTTTTTTGTTGGTTTAAGTCCTCCTATACTTTCTAGCATTCCACATAATTTGAAAAAGGCTTCTCTATTCATCCTAAGTAGTGAAATGCATGCCTCATCATTGTCATATACAATTCGTCTCACATAATCTCGTTTGCCATAAAAACCAAGAGAATAACGCCTACTAATTCTTGGTCGGGATGCCGTTGATGCCATCAAAGGTAAAAAAGTAGTAACGGTAGTATATGTAACACCCCACTTTTCTTAAACTTAATTACAGATCTAAAACCAATTTAAGATAAACTAAGCAGCGGAAAATCAAACTTAATTAATAAACTAGTGGGAATGTCACCGCCATAACCACTTTTCCACGGTGATTGCACAGGCTAAAGATAGAACTAAATCATCGAGTCAAACTAACATTCGAAATTACTAATTCAAAGTAACTTGGGGAAAAGTACCCCCGGTGTCTATCACCAAACAAAATAATATAACTCTACAACCATAATCCATAATATCATAAAATAAAACAAGAGTTTAGACTAATAGATCAACTACACTAGTCTAACTCGAACAACTCTCAAACGCTGGGCCCACCTGAAAGAGGTTTTGCAAAACAACAAGTAGACAAGTAGAAAACACACGTTAGCACGAAGTTAAGTATAACCACACTCAACCCTGTAAAATACTACGGTATATACTTTGGAAAACATTTGTTCACAATCTCAAATTAAGCAATTCAAACACATAGACGAACTTTAAAATAAACTACAAGCTTTCTATATGCTCACAACCTATAATATCAACATGCATGCTTCATCAATAAACAACATACCAACATAATCATACTACACATAATTAACATAGCAAAACTCAACTGTATAGAACAACTCCTTAACAATCTCATGCAATCAAGATCTCAACATGCAATTAAGAGATATTAACTTCAGTATGCAACTAAGGCAACCAAACTCAATATACAAACTCGGGTAATCATTCTCGATATGCAATCTAGTGCAAACATTCTCATTATGCAATCTCGTGCAACACTATACTCAAATGCAATGAAATACTTTAAATATACATATACTCTCGTTGTAAAATAGAGTACTTTCCGTGGAGGTTTCTTAGAGCCACAATGACTCACTTGCTTTCATTTCTTAGAGTCGCAATGACTCGCTTTCTTAGAGTCACCATGACTTGCTTTCTCTACAAATGGACGAGGTAGGAACTTCACCGTATCGTGAACGAACCTATCTGGGCACGGCGTCTAGCCGACCTAATTACCGTCTCGTCCACCGAACCACTCTCTTGGTTCTATGCTCAACTCTATGGAATCAGGTATCGAACTTTTAGCGTGCACACTCCCTGACCAGGATTCCAAGCCTGGCGGGCAGTTTCCAACCTCGTAACGTGGGAATACACCGCGTTACAAAACATCAGATCTCAATATCCGGCCAACATCATCCGAAAGGACATAGTCCCAATGGGTCCTCCAAAACCTCACATATATAGGTAGATAATATATGTATATCTCTCATGCACCAAACTTATGCATGTCACAACTCAACAACTTCTCAATGCAACAAGGTAATGACATACCACATGCTCATGAATTTTAGAAAATAATACTTAGGCTCACGTTGGTCATTTATGCACTAATAAAAAATGATATGCTTGGAATGCGATTTACTGTACAACATGCTTCAAATCTATATATCACAGTGAACTCTCAATAACACACAATCATGCTTGGTTTGCAACATATCATACTTTGTATACTTTCACAATTATAAGAAACTATAATTTCCATAAAACACATTCTGGTCATGCTTCCCTAACAATTCTCATTCACAAAATGATCATGCTTCTCTATTCGATACACACAAAGCACTAGGAGGATAAAACAAAGAAAATCTCATATGCAGTGAACTCAAATAACATTACTGTGAAGCATTTCATCACAAATTCTACCATAACATGCTCATTTCTAATCAAAATTCAACGAAATCAAAGGCCAAACGTGCGTCATGACGGCCCCAAGGTACCGAGCCACAATGGCCCGTGACACCTGGTCCGAAACGACACGTAGCTGAGCCACAAGGGCCTGGCCACTGCACAGGTAGCCAGCAACGGTCCTAGCGGTGGGGCTAGGTGAGTCCCGCCGCCTGGAGCCGTCCAGCGGCGGCCTAGGGCCACGACCCTTGCCTAGGGCCGTCTAGCCACAACTCCCCTCGTGGGCCATTGGCTAGGCCCGTGACTTCGACTGGTGCGCACTGTGAGGTGCACCAGTGGCTACTTCTTCACCTGTAATGCAAAACCAGGCAATTTTCCACTTCCAAAACATCATACAACATCAACAAGTCATCTAATAGCTCAAACACACAACAATCTATCATTTATACTCATTTCTACCTATAAAACAGTGGCTTCACAGAGCCTAAAATTAAGATGGGAGTCCATGGGGTTATACACTTTATAGATCAAAAGTTCTTAGTAAAATCTTTCTAGGGATACATAGTATTTCCCAAAATATACGATGTTAATAACTAAGTACTCGTAGGGAAAAGATAGCATAAGCTTCAAATATCTTTATAGACAAATATACACCTCATACATAGTTATATATGTATATATTCTCAAAATCAAGTATAACATTTCCTCAAAACATATATACTCATATATATAATTCTTGAAATAGAGTTTTTTTGGAAAATCATAGCTTTTGGTAGTTCAAAATCCTTCTCAACATATTTATGATTTTCTTATGAAAATACTTTTATACATAAATAATCCTTCAACCACAAATAATATATAATATAAACCAAGATAATTTCTCAAAAGTTGAAGTTGCTTAAGTGGAAGGGATTTTAATTATTTACCAAGGGATTAGGGGTTTAAATCCTACCTTAAACAATTTTCCAAAGCATAACACATCAAACTAAAGCTTAAAACAAATATTGTTAACCAAGGGAATCAATACCCAACCCTCCATCTCCCAAAACAAATATTGTTAACCAAGGGAATCAATACCCAACCCTCCATCTCCCACACTGGTATACTTACCAGTGGGCTACCACGAACCATGGTAATTATAACACCCCACTTTTCTATATCTTTTCTATCTCATAATCACAAATCTAATCCACAATTAAGATAACTAGTGGAAATGTCACTGCCACAACCACCACTCCGTAGTGATTGCACAGGCTAAGGGGTAGAACTAGAATACCAGTGGGCTACCACGGACCATGGTAATTATAACACCCCACTTTTCTATCTCATAATCACAAATCTAATCCACAATTAAGATAACTAGTGGGAATGTCACTGCCACAACCACCATTCCGTTGTGATTGCACAGGCTAAGGGGTAGAACTAGAAACAAAATAAATATCTAACATCCATAATATAAACTGATATCATAAAGGGGAAAAAGTTCACCCCAAATTCTACATCATCATCATCAATAAACAACATAAGTCTTAAAACATAAATGACTAAGTCATCATCATAACAAGAGTTTAGACATCTCAATCTACGAGACTAATCTAACTCGATCACTTCTCACTGCTGGGTCCACCTGAAAGGGGTTTTGCAAGAAACACATAGACAAATAGGAAAACACCCGTTAGCACGGAGCTAAGTATAACCACACTCAACCCTGTAAAGTATTATAGCATATACTTTGAAAACAATTGATTTCTCGTGTAAACAACAAACTCATCTCATAAACATCTTTAGATCTATCATATACTTTCTAGATGCTTGCAACCTATAATATCAACAAACATACCTCAAAACATATGACTTTACAAATCTAGATACTTGAACATGAATCCTTCACAATAAACTTAACTAGCAACTCATGCTTACAAGTAGTAACATGTTAATAAACTAACCAACAGGTATTCTCATGCTCTCAAATTCTCATCACATAAACTTGATGTACAATGCTTCAAATATAACTGTACGATCATGCTCGATGTACAATCTTAAATCAACATTTTCATTATACAATCACATACGATATTCTACTCAAATGCAATCTTGTGCAACACTATAATCACATGCAATCTTGTGCAATACTATGATCATACTCATATGCAATCTCGTGCAATACTATAGTCATACTCATATGCAATCTTGTGCAATACTATACATCATACTCATATGCAATCTAGTGCAATACTATAGTCATACTCATATGCAATTTTGTGCAATACTATACATCATACTCATATGCAATCTAGTGCAATACTATAGTCATACTCATATGCAATCTTGTGCAATACTATACATCATACTCATATGCAATCTTGTGCAATACTATACTTCATACTCATATGCAATCTTGTGCAATACTATACTCTTACTCATATGCAATCTCGTGTAATACTATAGATATATATACTCATGTACACTCGTTGTAAAAATAGAGTATGTTCTGTGGAGGTCTC